GCAACACTTGGAGGAAAAGGCGTGCTCAAAGCCTCATCCCAATTTGGAGTCACTCAAGACATCCTTGATTAAGGCAGCCGCCGATATTGACATGGACCTCGTTCGTGCTGCGATAGACGACTGGCCGCGCAGATTGAAGGCCTGTATTCAAAATCACGGAGGTCATTTTGAATAAACTTTAGTGTCATAAGAATCTATGTTTTGTTAAGTTCATTTTGGTGTATGAATGGTTACATAATGAATAAACTTGTTTCAATTATTTTACATTAAACATGTGACAGAATTTATGACCTGACTAGGTATATATTGTAAAACAGCGTGGGGATATTTTTTCTTACACTATTTTAAATTTACTAAAATTTATTTTCTATTTCTTAGTTCTATAAAAGCGTATTTTGTTAGTTTTATTATTTATTATATTTATTTATTATTATTTATTATATAATGTATATTAATTACAATTTCGGAAGTTATGAATATTTAATATAAATGTTAAAATATTTTTCATTTCTATCTCTTATTTCAGGCACGGTGAATTGAATGCTGTTGATAAACGTTGTTACACTTTGCTTACCATCGTGCCATGGTATCATGCGTATGGATTGATGTCAACTATAAATAATGTACTTTTAAAGAATACTTCGGTTTATTTGTCTGGTTTTAATCCTTTGCAGTACTTGAAGTGTATTCAAGATTATAAGGTAAATTACAAATCTTATTTTGACAACTATGATTTTGTTCTTTCCTTGAAACAGAAAGGTGTCATGACACTCACGTTGGGTATTTGCTGCTAATTTCTATCAATTCTGCCCACTTTTATATGAATATAATGACGGTCCAGTCGATTGAACTTAAAGGTATTTCATAATTTTAATATTATGAAGAGAAATATGAGCTATGCAGAGTAAATAGTTTCGTGAAGAGTGGTCTACGAACTTCTATAATAGCCCACATTGTGCTCCAATTTTTATTACAAAACACGTCTAAAATTTATCTTTTTTCGATTGCATCTTTGAAATTATCATTAGAAGCTATGACTTAATATTTTTGACGTGACAACGTCTTATAATTCGATGGAGCCGGCTTCACGCACGAAAAAACATGACTCATGCGGCGTTACCTCGCTCTGAGGCGTTCCATTTAAGGCTTGAAGTGCAAGCGAGAGCGCGCAACGAGCGACAAAGAGGCACAATCGGCCTCCGTGTTCGGCAGTGCTCGACATCTGTCTCTCTCCTACTTGAGTGAGTGATGCATCCGCGTGGACAGCTGCTATACAATAATACGTTTACATGATTTCGTCAAGTATGAAGTTCAGTGAAAAGTGAATGTGTTGTCAATTGTCCATACAAAATATCTATCAAACAAATAAAATTAAAATTTTCTTTTGAAAAATGAAACCATTCCATCAGTATTTTCTTATGACGTTGTCACGTTCAACTATGGTCAGTAAACAGACTTTACAGACAACCGATTTTTTTGGCCTTTATATTATATTATATATATTAAAGAAAATTAATTTCCTTTAATACGTAATGCTATTGCAAGATCGACGATAAGTTTCTAGTATGTATTTCATACAATTACGTCCGTCAAACTATAGGAATTTAATTGGACTAGCATTGTGTGTGATTTTATTTCCAAAGTTAAACTATGACGATACCTTTTCATTGGTAATAATCTAAGCGATGGTTGCATTTAAACTTTAAATCGATGCGATAGCTCAAACATGGTGCTGGTTAAAATTAAGTATTGTGTGAAATATCGAATGGAGAGTAAATGAAATGAGTTTCTCAAAGGGGGTACAAGAGAGTTGAAATGAATTGTTTTGTCGCCCTCTATGTGCAGAGCGTCTTATCACCAATTCGATTATTAAATTTATTATCTTTAAGGCGAAAATTAACGGGATAGTATCACATGGATGAATGGCAGATCGCAGTTTTGATTACATTGTTTAACTCTTCTGAACCCGAAATGCATGCTGTTTCGTGACACAAATAGGCAAAAATGTAGTACTTACCCGTGCGTACCTTATAGACTATAAGTTTTCAATCTGATGTGTTATTTAAATTTTCTTTTTCAAAGCTGTCCAATTTATATTGGTAAAAAACCAGCTATGAAGAGGCAAATACTTAGTGAGAGTATTTAATATTTAATTTAAATTAATGTTAAAAATTATCTTTTCTTGTAGGTCAATGTTTTATTAGTTGTTCCGCCTATAGTCGTGTTTTTAGCGAAGGCTCCAATTGTAGGAAAATTTGATTTATCTTCAGTTAACCAAATATGGTGTGGTGCCGCTCCTCTTAATTCGGAAACTATTAATGAAACTCTGAAAAGGTACGAATAATAAATGCTAAATAGTATTATATATTGCACTCCATTTCATTCCAAAATAATGCAGTATTAAATGAGTGTAAGACAATGAAGACTTTCTTGTCACGCATTAGTAGGAGATATATTATCACCGATCACCCTCTTCGGCCAACCTATACCCTGGGCCAGGAAGGTCAAGTACCTGGGAGTCACCCTGGATGCATCTATGACATTCCGCCCGCATATAAAAACAGTCCGCGACCGTGCCGCATTTATTCTCGGCAGACTCTATCCCATGATCTGTAAGCGGAGTAAAATGTTCGGAACAAGGTGACACTTTACAAAACTTGCATAAGGCCCGTCATGACTTACGCAAGTGTGGTGTTCGCTCACGCGGCCCGCACACACATAGACATCCTCCAATCCCTACAATCCCGCTTTTGCAGGTTAGCCGTCGGGGCTCCGTGGTTCGTGAGGAACGTTGACCTACACGACGACCTGGGCCTCGAATCAATCCGGAAATACATGAAGTCAGCGTCGGAACGGTACTTCGATAAGACTGTGCGTCATGATAATCGCCTTATCGTTGCTGCCGCTGACTACTCCCCGAATCCTGATCATGCAGGAGCCAGTCACCGTCGAAGCCCTAGACACGTCCTTACGGATCCATAACCTTTGCATTAGACGCCTTCAGCTCTAATCCTAGGAGCAGGCTTAGGGACCCCAGTAACCGTACTCGTCGAACTCGACAAAGAGGTCTAACCTAACCTAACCCATGCATCAGCCCGCTGAGTTTCTCGCCGGATCTTCTCAGCGGGTTGCGATTCCGATCCGGTAGTAGATTCATTCGTGAAGCAATTGCTCTTGAGTTGTTAGATCTCCTTCAGAGGCGCTCGGGCAGTTGTTAGCAAATCCCACCCCTCCTGGCTGAGCCTTTGCTCGCCCACCTATCCTGGTGAAACTGGAAAGACCTTCGGGACACCAGTAATCTTTCAATCATAAAAAAAAAAACTTTCTTGTTCTCGGTTTAATATATACATTTAATATTAACATGAAGAGATGTCATTTTGAATTTTCGAAAAGTAGAGTATGTCTTTTTCAAGGACGACGATGGTAGCTACCCGGTTGGATTCAGTTATATCTATTTTTAATATTATTAACAGTCAACTCAAAGTATAGTAACCAATGGTCATTTTAAATTTATAATTTACAGATTGCCAAACTGTGAAGGAATTTTCCAAGGATACGGTATGACGGAGACTTCTCTCGCGGCGACAAAAGATATAAACAAAGATGATGTTGTGCGCAAGCCTGGCAGTGGGGGTTATGTTCTACCGGGCATTCGTGCCAAGGTACCCACTGCGCTTTTATGATTTTTCGCTTATTACTTTGCTAATATGAAAATCTCGATGCACACTCGCGCGTTGCACAGTCCTACTAAAATCCTTAAAGGCCATAAACAAGGCTGACAACAAAGAGGTCTGAAATGTATGATGATAAAAACCCAGGAATTACTAAGATCTAGAAATACTCGACGGCAATATCCGTAGTGCAAAACATGAAAAATACGAAAAAAATATTTTGTTATTAACGTTCGTCAAAACCGTTTACTGCGACATCATTTACTTACTTTCTTACTGACTTAACTTTACGATGAATGATGATGATTAAATAACATTGTGTAATATAAATGAAACCCGCAAAATAAAACTTACTTATTTACTATACAATCGAAGCTTAAACCTCAAGTCTCTAGATGGTGGCAGCGTTCATGTTGTTGATGTCTATGGACATGGATATTTTTTACTGGTGTTAGGACACATTGTGAGTCCGCACGGGTAGGTACCACCACCCTGCCGTGAAGCAGAAATGCGTTTCGGTTTGAAAGGCGGGGCAGCTGTTGTACTGTCAAAACTGAGACCTTACAACTCATGTCTCAAGGTGTGTGGCGGCATTTACGCTGTAGATGGCTATGGGCTCCCGTAACCACTTAACATCAGGTGGGCCGCGAGCTCGTCCACCCATATAAGCATTAAAAAAAAGAAAAAAAGCTCCGGCTACCAGTTAATACCAGTCGAGCAGTGGGCTAGTTTAATACAACATCTAACAAAAAAAAGGTAGACATGTTATTGATATTGTAAGATAATAGAACAAGTCAAATATTTAGTAACTTAACGCTATTTAAATATTATTGTACAGAGTTTTCAGTGATAAAAGCTTTTGTAAAAATTCAAGGTGGTAAATATAGAAACCCGTGAAAGATTGGGACCGTATTGCGAAGGTGAAATTTGCTTCAAAGGACCGGTTATAATGAAAGGCTATGCAAATAACGAAAAAGCAACTGCTGAAATAACTGACGATGAAGGGTATCTAAATACTGGAGACATCGGATACTACGATGATGACGGCTGCTTCTTCGTTGTGGATCGACTGAAAGAACTCATCAAATACAAAGGACACCAGGTAACTGTTATCTATTTGCGTACACAGCTAGACAAGGCCCGCCCGACAAGAAGTGGCCATAAGAGCTTATTTATCGCATTATGCTTATGAAAACGCATTATGCTTGTAACTATACTGAGATCTTAGAACTTATATCTCAAGGTGGGTGGCGCATTTACGTTGTAGATGTCCATGGGCTGTAGTAACCACTTAACACCAGGTGGGCTGTGAGCTCGTCCACCCATCTAAGCAATAAATAATTAATAATAATAATAATTTGAAGATTTGTAGTTGATTGGGTTCAAAAATATAGCGTAAAAATAGAGCTACTATTATTTTATGATGGAAAAATGAAACACGTTTAGGACGTCCGCAGAATAATCGAATTTATATGCAATTGAATACGATATGTGAGATATATGTGTGTCTGTATGTTCACTTAAAGCTACCTCACGTATTTAGCTTTCTGAATCGTATTATGGCTTTTGTGTTTTGATATAAAATTGCGTTTTGTTGGGAGCGAAACTACGGTCGCAGCTAGTATTATATAGATGACTAGCTGACCCGGCAGACTTCGTAGTGCCTCAATCGATAAATAAAAGACACATCAAGGGGACACATCAAAGGAAAAACAAAATTGTTTGTTTTTATATAATTTCGAGCTTTTTTATATTTTCTCACCTTTTCAAACCTTCCCTGGACTTCCACGAATGATTCAAGACCAAAATTAGCCAAATCGGTTCAGCCGTTCTCGAGTTTTAGCGAGACTAACGAACAGAAATTCATTTTTATATATATAGATATGATATAATCATATCCTCTCTCACAAACTAAACGAAGTCGCTCATAATGTACCTATCGACTCCGATAACACCGGATGAGTCCGTATTTTTTTTTTTTTATGATTGAAGGATTACTGGTGGCCCGGAGGCCTTTCCAGTTTCACCAGGACAGGTGGGCGAGCAAAGGCTCAGCCAGGAGGGGTGGGATTTGCTAACAGCTACCCGAGCGCCTCCGAAGGAGACCTAACAACTCAAGAGTAGCTGCTTCGCGAATGAATCTACTACCGGATCGGAATCGCGACCCG